TTATTCCCGGCTTGGATGAACCAGGATGAAGACTTACTTCTAACAATTTGGCACCTCAGGATGGGACTTCAAGCTAACCTCTCCAATGGACTGAGACTGGTAAGCCCCATCTTGCCGGCAGCAGACCCCTTGTGTCTGTAGATGGGTTTCCCAGGCCTTGCCCATTTGAGTCAGGGTAGTAAAGGGAGTTTTGGGTTTGAGCTCAAGGGCTGCTTTGGAAAGAAGGTGAAGGTGAGTACCTCTAAATTTTAAGTTTAAAGCCCAGGGGAACAAAGAAAATGTGTGTATGTCTGTGTGTGTGAGTGAGAAGACCCTTTTTTTCCCCAATCCCAGTTGGATTTTGCTCCTTCTGGTCTTTTCTAGCCGCAGAAAGGATCTGTTTAATTGGCAGAACCTGGAAAGCATGGGGGTTGGTCAGAGCACAGAACCTTTTGTAGAGAAAAGGGAGAGGCTATGTGAAAATGAAATGGAATGTGTGAATAATAGAATTGGATTTGGGCAACTAGCTGGCAAGGCCCTGTAAGCAAAGTTAGGAAACTAAGCCCCGGGCTAGGAAGCCCCAGGCTAGGAGCAGTCCACTTACCTCTGAGAGCAAGCAGAGGTCCGCAGCGGATGTTAGGGGTCCGCAAAACAGTTGTGGTGAAGCCGATCGGTGGTTGAGTGACCTGTACCTTCTGAGGGGAAACCAGAAGCGTCTCTACAGGCCCCTTTTTGGGTCTGAAACCGTGGGGGATCCCGCAAGGAGCCCGCGTACTCTGTGAGGGATCCAGAGTGCTCCGTGAGTCCCCTTTTTGGACTCACAAAACCGCGGAGGTAGGAGGAAGCTTCGCAAGGAAGCTTCCGGTATATAGAGCCCATTAGTGTTCGAGGGCTGAGATAGGTTTCCCGGTTGAGAGCTTGCTCGACGCCTGGGACAGGAATCAGCTACCTGTCCAGGCCGGGATGAAAAAGAAACGGTTAAAAGAGTTATGCAAAAAATAGACTTTGCTTAGGGCTTTGCTGGGAAACCAATTTGGCTAAATAAAGGTACTTAAAAGGGAAAATAAGAAATAGTGA